AATCATATGACTTAAGGAATTTATCGATGTCTTCACTATCTTCTATTTTATTGGAATATAGGTTTTCAAAATAATTTCTAATTGTCTTCTGTATTTCTGTAGTGTCTGTTGTGATATTGCCTTTTTCATCCCGTATGTTAGTGATTTGAGTTCTCTCTCTTCTTCTCTTCGTTAGCATGGCTAAGGGTCTGTTGATCTTATTTATTTTTTCAAAGAACCAACTTTTAGTTTTGTTAATTTTTTCAATAGTTTCTTTTGTTTCAATTTCGTTGATTTCCGCTCTGATTTTAATTATTTCTTGCCTTCTGCTACATTTGCTGTTGTTTTGCTCTTCCTTTTCTAGGGCTTTGAGATGAAGTGTGAGCTCATTTATTTGTTGGTTTTTCCTTTTTTTGAGGAATGACCTCCAAGCGATGAATTTCCCTCTTAAAACTGCTTTCATTGTGTCCCATAGATTCCGATATGTTGTGTCTGTATTTTCATTTATCTCTAAGAATTTTTTGATTTCCTCCTTTATGTGTTCTGTAACCCATTGATCATTCAGTAACATATTGTTCATTTTCCATGTGATGTAGGATTTTTCCTTCCTTCTTTTATCATTGATTTCCAGTTTCATTCCATTATGATCAGATAAAATGCATGGTATTATCTCCACCCCTGTATATTTACTGAGGGTTGCCCTATGGCATAATATATGGTCTATTTTTGAGGAGGATCCATGTGCTGCTGAGAAAAAAGTATATCCACTTGATGATGGTTGATATATTCTATATATGTCAGTTAAGTCTAGGTTGTTGATTGTGATATTGAGTTCTATAGTTTCTTTATTCAGATTTTGTTTGGAGGATCTGTCCAATGGTGAGAGAGGTGTGTTGAAGTCACCCATAATTATTGTGTTGTGGTCTATTTGATTCTTGAACTTGAGGAGAATTTGTTTTATGAACGTCGCAGCACCATTATTTGGTGCATAAATATTGATAATTGTTATGTCTTGTTGGTGAATGGTTCCTTTTAACAGTATATAATGTCCTTCCTTATCCCTTTTGATTAATTTAGTCTTGAAGTCAATTTTATTCGATATGAGGATGGCCACCCCTGCTTGCTTACGAGGACCGTGTGCGTGGTATATTTTTTCCCAACCTTTCACCTTCAGCCTGTGTATGTCTTTTCCAATCAGATGTGTCTCCTGGAGGCAGCATATTGTTGGATTTGTTTTTTTAATCCATGTTACTAGCCTATGTCGCTTTATTGGAGAGTTTAAGCCATTAATGTTTAGAATTACTATTGATATATGGTTTGTACTTCCAGCCATGTTTGATTATTTATCTTCTTTTTTTTTTTAATTTAGTTTGTTTCTCCATGGTTAGCTTTCCCCCCGCCCTCTGTCTTTATAGAGGCACTTCCCACTGATGGTTTTGGTTATTGTTTTTCATTTCTTCCTCGTGTGGTATTTTGCTCAAGATGCTTTGCAATGCTGGTTTTCTGGCTGCAAATTCTTTTAGCTTTTGTTTATCATGAAAGATTTTTATTTCGTTATCGTACCTGAAGCTTAATTTTGCTGGATACAGAATTCTTGGTTGGCATCCATTGTCTTTCAGTGTTTGAAATACGTTGTTCCAGCATCTTCTCGCTTTCAGCGTCTGTGATGAAAAATCCGTTGTTAACCTTATTGGTTTACCCCTGAATGTAATCTGCCTCCTTTCTCTTGTAGCTTTTAGTATTTTCTCTTTGTTCTGTATATTGGATATCTTCATAACAATGTGTCTTGGCGTTGGTCTACTGTGATTTTGTGTGCTCGGTGTCCTGTATGCATCTACAATTTGTATATCTGTTTCCTTTTTTATTTCTGGAAAGTTTTCTGTAATTATTTCTTTCAGCAGGTTGCTCATTCCCTTGGTTTGAATCTCTGTACCTTCTTCTATCCTGATGACTTGTAGGTTTGGTTTCTTTATGTTATCCCATATCTCTTGGATGTTTTTCTCGTGGTTTTTAACCAGCCTTTCTGAGTTGGCTAGGCTCTTTTCAAGATGATATATTTTGTCTTCATTATCTGATGTTCTGGCTTCTACTTGCTCCACTCTGTTAGTGATACTCTCAATTGAGTTTTTAATTTGGTTTATCGTTTCCTTCATTTCTAGAATTATTGTTTTTTTTTTTTTATAATCTCAATCTCCTGATAAAGATGCTTAACTTCTTCTTTTATCTGTCTATGTAATTCATTTTCAAAGTGTTCTTTCACTGTTTGGATTTGCTGTCTCGTATCTTCTTTAAGGTTCCATTCCATCTGTCTAAGGTATTCCTTGAGTTCTTTATATGACCATTTTTCTGCTGACTCTAGGTCCTCCGGAATATTTACGCTGTCCTTCATTGTTTGTACTCCTTTTCTTCCTTGATTTTTTATGCTGCTCATGTTACTTCTTGTTCTGTTTGACTGCTGAGTTACTGTTTACTCTTATAGATTTATTTGATGCTTGAGAGGAAAGATATTAGAAGGGAAGGGAAGAAGTCACTAAAGAGAATGAGAGTAGGCAGGTAGAATTCAAGGAAGGGGGAATAAGAAAATTGAAAAGAAATGAAAAGACAAAAGAAACAAGAATAACAAAGATTAGATAATAAAGAAAGAAAGAAAAGATGAAAAAAATTTTTAACAAAAATAATAGCGATAATAAAAAAATGAAAATTAAAATTAAAAAATAATAATAATAAAATTTAAAAAATTAAAAAAAATAGAAACATTGAAAAAAGTTAAAGAACAACAACAAATAAAAATTGAAAATGAAAGAAAAAGAAGAAAGAAAAAAAAAGAAAAAGAAAAGAAAAAAATGATAATAATAATAATAATAAATGCAATCCTAGAGTTCTATTAACTTCTCTTCCAGTAGGTGGAGCTGTGCCCACTGGGCCAAGCTTCTCCTCTCAATAGGTGGGAACCATTCACTGTGCAGCAGCTCTTTCTCCTAGACTGGGCGGGTCTCCAATCCTGAGTGTCTAGGGCCTTGTCTTGTGTTTCCTCAAGCCAGGCCATGCTCACCTGTGGCGCTCACCACAATACTGGCTACATGCCAGGTCTGCTGCTCCTGGGAGCCCTGTTTTCATGAACACCTGGGCTCACTCTCCCTGTTTGCCTCCCTCAGACCCTAAGTTTGTAGAGCTTGGGGCTGAGATCCCCCAGCGAATTTGCTTGCCCTCCTGTAGCCACGCCCCCAGTAGCTGGTGCAAGAGACCTCAGTTGTCAGCACTGGTGGGAGCGGTAGCCGGGAGTTCCGTGACGCGAGTCCCGCGCCACTCCTGATTCCCTCGGTCTGGTTATTGCATTCACAGGAGAGCTGGGAGTGGCCCTTAAGTTTTCCCTGCTGTGTGGAGAGAGATGACTAGGGGATTACACACCTGTCGCGCTGGTTTCAATGCAGGTATCTCCTCCGCCCGTGACGCCATTTCTCTGCCATGGTGGTATCCCTTGCAAATGGTGACCGTTTGTTCCCTTTGCCGGGTGACCAATGCAACGGGTGAGTCCTGACTGTCTCTCCCAATCCCCGTTTCAGTCCTGTGGCCACTGCCTATGAAGGCTCGGTTGGCTTTTACCTCTGTAAGTTCCTAAGGGCCGGCCAATTATTTCAGCGGGATCGTTAGTGCTGAGTCACACGAAGCAGGCGAACCAGAGCTTAATTGCCTCCTATTCGGGCTCTGTGTGTGTGTTCTGAGGGGCCCAGCCTGTACACCCCAGATCCACGTCAGCTCAGCATTGCCTAGTGATCCTGAGCAAACAGCATTTAGACAGTTTACGGCTCCCTATGCCCGCGCAGTTGAAGATGTCAGAGACTTGATCTCTCTGCGCCTGCCACCATGTTACATCTCCTCAGTGATATTCATGTTGCCCTTATAGCTTCCTGGTATAAGCAAGTTCTTGGGATTATACAAACTGCTGCTTCTGTTTCCAGTCCAGATTTCTAGAAATGAAACCCTGCCGCCGTCGCCTCCGTCTCTGGGCTGCGCTCACGAGCGCCGCGCTTGTCTGCAACCGTAGCAGAGCCACCCTGGCCTCCGCAGCTCTTCAGCCCCGTGCCCTGCCCCAGGGGCCCAAGCGGCTGCTGCCGGGGCTCTCCGTCCCCCTCCTCCGGAGCACGGGTCCCCTGGCAGGGGGGTGCAGAACGACCCCAGAGCAGGCTCTGCCCGAAGGTGCAGCAGCGAACAGGCCACCGAGACGCTCGAGGCTGCAGTCCAGCCTTTGGAGGACAGGGCTCGGCATGCAGCCCAGCTCCAACCTCTAGGTGCGGCTGCCGGACAGTGTATACAGAGCCATCAAGACAGCAAGCAGAAAGCAAATGGCGGCTCCCACGGAGTGGATTTTCGGCACAGAAACCACAGCCCAGCCAACAATCCCAATCCACAAACTCTCCCTGTATAAAAAATATTCAAAAAAAAGAAGAAAAAAAAAAAAGAAGGCGGGGCGCACTGAGCTCTCTTTGCCTCGGGTACTTACAATCCACTGCTGATTACACATTCAGCTTCTCCGCCCGGAGCGAAGCGAAAGAGGAAGCAGATGGGAGCAAAGCGCCCGCGGCTCTAAGCAGCCAAGCGTCTCTTTTTCGATTTCTTTGTTCTTCCTGCTCCTTGGCAAAGTGGTCCGCTACAGATTAACGGTGAAAGGAGCTCTAACAGACTGTGCGAAATCTCTATTAAAGCCGCTGCTTTGAGCACCATGCTCAGCACTTCAGCAACCCCCGTACGCAGCGGCCATCTTCCCCCGGGTCGAATTTCCATTATTTTAAACCATAGCAGGTTTGTAGGAATTTCTTGTGGCAGCCTTAGGAACGTGATACGCATGCTGTGCATGATTTTAGATTGGGTTTATCTGTTTTTTGTTTGTTTCTCTCACTAGATCCATTGCCATGAGCATAGAGAATGTATCTGGTTTTTTCATCATTGATTATCTGGCTCCAAGAATACAGAATATTTCATGCTAGACATAAATATAGGTTGAACAAATAACAGGAAAAAAGTTGAAAGAAAATGGTTCTTTATAGGTTTGTTTTTAATGTGTTTTGGTGAGAAAGGTAGCAAAACACAAAACAAAAAAATATTTTTGCCTAAGCAGAGTATCAGATGAAAATTTCTACCTAATTTTCTTTGAGATAGTACATGACAGATGTTATGACAATTTTTAAATAGACCAGTGAATAAGAAACTTTCTCTATTCTATCAAATTTAAAGAGATCCCAGGTAGTGATCATGGTTATAAAACTTCACCAAAACTAAATAGACTGCATTGCAAAGAAATCTGCATAGCTCCTTTCTAACTAAATTAGCACAGAAATTTTGGGAAACTGTGTTAGCCTCATCGTAATCAGGATCAACATTTGGATAAAGCCCAGTATTGTATGTCTCCATGTCTGCCTCCATTTAACTGAAAAGCTTCCTTGCTATTTCCACACATTTTCTATCATCAAAGGGCTTCCTCTGGCTGCCAGGCTGCAGAAACTTCTTAACTGTGGGCAGGTTGCTGACTCTGGTTCTCAGGGCCTGAAATGCAGAAGAACACAGCCTGAGAGTGGAACCCAAACCAACACCCATTAACACAATCAGGAAGTCTTGGACATTCCCAGCATGCTGTCTGGGAAACACAACCAATGAGAAAAAAAGATAAGAGCTAGAAAATAAAGCTCAATGACAATTTCCCCCAACTTCTTTTTTTAAATATTATTTTTGAGTTGGACACAATACCTTTATTTTATTTGTTTGTTTATTTTTATGTGGTTCTGAGGATCGAACCCAGGGTCTTGCACGCTCTACCTCTGAGTCATAAACCCAGCCCTTCCCCAACTTCTTTTTAATACTGTATTCAGTTCCAGCCATCCTGTCTTCTGCCTTACACTTTAATCCTATAGATTCATTGCTACTGTATGATATAAAGAAAAAAAATGTGACATTTGCCTGTCATACGTGGAAACAGAGAAGCACTCAAACAGGTGAAAAGAAGATATGGTAATACTGAGTTAGAAATGATGATAGAAATAGAACAGAAAATGCAGGTGTCAGTCACTACAAATTATCACACTGAGAGATAAAGATGGCAGTTGCTGAGGGTGGGATAAGGGAGGGAGGTTTGAGAGAGAAATATAACGTTTGAGGCTACGAACCTGAGGAGGAGGAAGGAGAACTGATGGAAGGAGACTTGCTCAACATGGAAAGACAAGGGCATACGGGGGATGGAGGGATTCCCAAGGAAGTCATGATTAGAATCCAAATGGAATAGGGGCTGTGAAGAGAAATCTGGGCCCTTGGTTTCACTTATGATACAAAGCCAAATATACTTCTTAGAGTAGCATCCACCTCAAATGTCCTTGCATAGCAAGATTCTTTTCATTCCTCAGAACCAGGGCCTAGAAGATCTTTTTGGAGGCCAGAGAAGGGAGGGTAAAGACTGAAGACGGCTAGAAGTCAGAACACCACCAGCCCCAGTGTTTAGATGTTAGATTCATGATGGGAGGTGTGGGCCTCTATGAGGACTTGAGAGAGAGCACCTTCAGTAGAGGGAAGTTGGCAAGAACAGTGGAGTCCAGCTCTTCTGTGTGGTAGAGAAGTTCAGTTAGGTGGACGTCAGCCTTGCTCAGCCTATTGCCAACCAGGTAGTCTTGCCCATGGCTCTTTAACACCTGCAGAATGGGAGGAGTCAGGTCATGAACACACATCACACACATGACTTGAATCATCATATTTTTGTGACATTGGCTCAGCATGATGGTACAAAATACACGTTAAATTATCTAGGCGTGAACTGCACTGACATCTGCATCTTAGTCTGAAATGCATGGGAAAAGTAATATGTGGTGAGACAGGAGTGGAGATCTGGACACATGATAAAGTGTACATCATACGATGTAAATTCTGCTATCTCACAGATGGGCACATATGGATTCTTTAAACTTTCTGTCAATTTCTGTGTGTATTATAATTTTCACAAAAATTTTTTTGGTAATATGTGATATTTGTTTAAATATCTCAGCAATAATGAGGAAGAATAAAGGGAAAAAAACCCATGGCACTACCAATCAAACAAAATATTGTGTCAGCCACCCTATCAAATTAAGTTTACAAAGAAAAGTATGAACAATTGCTTGGTACAAGAACAAAACACAACATCATATTTATGCTACAATTTAAAGCACTCTTTTAGCTTTACCTCCAGTGTGCTCAGAACTTCCCACCACCCAAGGGCTAATTCTGTACTATGAATTCTGTACATAGAGAATTCTAGTTGATTCCCAGTAACTGAAACTTTCAACTTGGTATCACTAGTGCAAGCCTTCCTCATAGTCTACCTTTATGCAATGCCTCGAGTGCCAGAGTACTAGATCAGTATGCAAAAAGGCCCTCTGGAAGTGAGGGTCAATGTCCAAGGAATCCTAGGCACTGTTTTTCTCCTGTTTCTGTTATGGAAAGAATATCTGAGTCCCTCCAAACTCATAAGTTGTGATCCCAATGCTGTTAGGTGGGGCCTTTGGGACATAATTAGGTCCTGTGGGAAGAGTTCTCAGGAATGGCACATTTTTTTTATATTAAGACATTCTTTAATGAGGACAAAATAGCTACTGTATATATATTTATAGCATAAGATCTAATGTTTTTGAAAGGCCGTTAAATGAGATAATACAGTACGTTGGTCACTCATACAAAAAACCAAAACTGTAATAATTGCCCGTGTAATTTTTTTTCCTTTAATTTTTATTGTTTGTTGTTCAAAACATTACATAGTTCTTGACATATCATATTTCACACTTTGACTCAAGTGGGTTATGAACTCCCATTTTTACCCCGTATACAGATTGCAGCATCACATCGGTTACACATCCACTGTTTTACATATTGCTATACTACTGTCTGTTGTATTCTGCTGCCTTTCCTATCCTCTACTATCCCCCATCCCCTCCCCTCCCATCTTCTCTCTCTACCCCATCTACTGTAATTCATTTCTCCCCCTTGTTTTTTCCCCCTTTCCCCTCACTTCCTCTTGTATGTAATTTTGTATAACCATGAGGGTCTCCTTCCATTTCCATGCAATTTCCCTTCTCTTTCCTTTTCCCTCCCACCTCTCACCCCTGTTTAATGTTAATCTTCTTCTCATGCTCTTCCTCCCAACTCTGTTCTTAGTTACTCTCCTTATATCAAAGAAAACATTTGGCATTTGTTTTTTAGGGATTGGCTAGCTTCACTTAGCATAATCTGCTCTAATGCCATCCATTTCCCTGCAAATTCTATGATTTTGTCATTTTTTAATGCAGAGTAATACTCCATTGTGTATAAATCCCACATTTTTTTAATCCATTCGTCTATTGAAGGGCATCTAGGTTGGTTCCACAGTCTTGCTATTGTGAATTGTGCTGCTATGAACATCGATGTAGCAGTGTCCCTGTAGCATGCTCTTTTTAGGTCTTTAGGGAATAGACCGAGAAGGGGAATAGCTGGGTCAAATTGTGGTTCCATTCCCAGCTTTCCAAGAAATCTCCATACTGCTTTCCAAATTGGCTGCACCAATTTGCAGTCCCACCAGCAATGTACAAGTGTACCCTTTTCCCCACATCCTCACCAGCGCTTGTTGTTGTTTGACTTCATAATGGCTGCCAATCTTACTGGAGTGAGATGGTATCTTAGGGTGGTTTTGATTTGCATTTCTCTGACTGCTAGAGATGGTGAGCATTTTTTCATGTACTTGTTGATTGATTGTATGTCTTCCTCTGAGAAGTGTCTGTTCAGGTCCTTGGCCCATTTGTTGATTGGGTTATTTGTTTTCTTATTGTTTAAGGAATGGCACATTTTAAGGAATGCTCTTATAATGAGACCTTGGACCCATCTTCCGTAGAAGGACACAGCCCAAAGTCAGCCATTCATGAACCAAGAAGCAAAGCTTTCCAGATACCAATCCACCATGTCCTTGACCTGTCTCTTCTCAGTCTCCAGAACTATGAGAAATATAAATTTTTTGCATAGAGCTCCCTCTATGGCATTATTCATATGGCAGTCCTAAGTGCTAAGATAACCTGTTAGGACTAAGATGCCCTCTAAACTCCGTCGCTGTGCTGTATTCATGAACTGCATCCTGTTCTATATGACTCTTCCCTCCTTTCCACTGGACTGTCCCATCAACAGGCAAGCCTCACCCACATAAAGAGAAAGCCAGTGTTTGTGCTCAGGCCCAGCCTGATGCTGGTCATGATCCCCCAGCCCTGGTCCTTCTCACTCAAGGCATAACCTAAATCCTTCCCCTGTTGATATAAGAATAGAAAATAATACCATACAGTGTTCTTTCCTTATGTCCTTCTGCCGCAGTCTGGCTGGGCACAATCAGGAGCCACTTGTCAAAAGAAACTAACTTTATTTTTAGCACCACACATGCCAAACAAAACAGCCTCTCAGGAAAAACCCTCAGAGCCTCAACTGCCACCACCGGCTTTCCACAAGCCTCTCTCTCCCACACAAGCTTCTCTCCACCTCCCACAATCCTCCTGCTCTTGAGGCCGATTGGCTGGGTCACGTGGGCGGAGCCAAAAAAGTCCCCCAATGAGCAGCTCCGTGGTCTGAAAGGGCAGGGAAACAGCCCAATGAGCATCACCGCAGAGGAGCCAATCAGCTAGATGTTGCTGGGGCCGCTGTGAGCCAATCATCAGCCGGCAGCTGGAAGTTTGCTGGCAGCTGGAAGTTTGCTGGGGCCCCTTCGGCTGTGGCTCTCAACATCCTTCCCATAGAGGTTGTATTGGTGGCAATATAGTTGAGAAGAACACTGGGCTGACCCAGTTTTATCCTGTCAATCTTCAAGTTAGAGGGTGCCCTATAGGTGAAACCAATTCCACTTACCTTCTCAAAGGCAGGAAAGTAACGGTTTCTTGATTTCTCTTTGATCTGAGTAAGTCTTCCATCTTTGTCCCTAGATGGAAGGTATGGGTAAAGAAGGACCATTTCATTCAAATCTGTCATCCCTTCTGAATACATATCAATTCTGGAAAAAACAAAACAAAACACAAACACTCTGTCAAAAGCCTTCTGCCCCACATTTTTTACTGCCCTACATTTTACAGTTTTGAAACACAACAGAGCATCAGATAGGAGCAAATTAATTCGCCTCTATTAGGGACCCTTAAAAGTCCAGTTACAATCTTCTGGGTTTTATTTATAGATTAACATTTCTTGGAGCAACGTACAGGGAATACATGTCTAAATTTTTATTATATACATGACCACATACTGTTCCAAAGAGCATACTGGGCCATCACAAGTTAAGGTCTTTAGAGAACTTGGTATCTACAAACACTGGTAGTACATATAGGCTATTCTCTCTGTGCTGTTCCTTGTTCTGGACATAAAGATACTGTGATTCCAGTGGCTAAACACTTGCCTCCTAGGTACACTCAAGACAGAGTCCCTGGCCCAGCCTCTCAGACAAGTCCCTCTACTTCATTCTTTCTATTATATTGTTCAGGATCATTCCGTGTTCAATGTTAGAAATAAAGTGCTGCCATTATTTCCCAAAATTCATGTTCTCTAATCCGTTCCATATACTGTTGCCCAATGCTGATCATGATTGCATTTCTTGTGATCCCCACCTAAGAAAAGTCCTCTACTTGCTGCAATTCTTTATATAGTTACAGTAAGTTCATGACATAAGAAAGCTTCATTTCTTTTGCTTCAAGTGGGTTTTTCAAAATTCTTTTTAAAAAGCAATTTTATTGACAAATGTTCACACCATAGTTGTCACCCAATTAAAGTCTACTATTCAGTGTTTTTTTAGTACATTCACAGAATTCTGCAAATATTTATATTCTCCAGTTCCAGATCACTTTAACCATGCTGGGTAGATTAACAAACATGTATACCACCTCTCCCACTAGCTCCAGAAAATACTAATCTCCTTTCCATCCCTGTAGATACTAGTGTTCTTCACCTTCATGCTAGAGAAACCATACAAAATGTGATTGGGGTCTGATTTCTTTAATGTGATATAATGTTGTCAAGGTCCATCCATGTTGCTACATGCATCAGTACTTCATCTCTTTGGACAGCAAATACTATTCCATTGTATGACCAAAGAAATTTTCTTCACCCATTCATCCATTGGATGTTTAGTTTATTTCCACTACTTGGGTATTATGACAATGCAGCTGTGAATATTTGTGGACAAATACCACTCAGGATGTATTTTTATTCCTCTTGGGTATATCCCTAGTTCTGGAATTGCTGGGATATTGCTAACTCTAAAATTTTTGAGGAACTTTCCACAGATCCATTCAAGATGTTATTTTCAATAAAGCAGTTCTAGCCCAGGATGGAGGAGACCTAAACCCCTGTGCTCAATCAGTGGACTTCTTCAAGTCTAAATGAAATGCTTTGTCTCACCGTCATGTCTTGACACCAGACTCCATCAACCCTCATCATGTTGACCCATCTTTAGAAGAAGAGGGTAGCTTAGGTTCTTGGCTATCAGTCTTATACTTTCCAGAAAGGGAAAATCAGGTGCTTCAGATATTTCCTTCCCAGGCCTTCAAGTCTAGACACTCAAATCCTTCCCCTGTCCCAAGCTATTGCATAGATTGTTTAACCTCTAAAGCTAAGCAATGGAATCAGGATTCCACCATCTTCCTGAATTCATAGTTCCTCAGGATTTGCAAGCCTCTATGAACCATATCCTCTCTACATGTCACTGCCCTGAATCCACTCCATGCTTACTCTTCCTGCATCTCCACAGTACTCTCCCACACTGACCTCAGTGTTTATGCCCAGGGTCCACCTGGGACTCCTCAGGATCTCCCTGCCTTGGTTTTTCTCACTCAAGGAAGAACCTAAATTCTTCCCGTGTTATCTGTTGATGTAAGAATAGAAAATATACCATACAGGGCTCTCTCCTTTATGTCCTTCCCATAGAGGTTGTATTTGGCAGCAATGTAGTTGAGAATGGCTCTGGTCTGCACCAGCTTCATCCCATCGATCTCCACCATGGGCACCTGCTGGAACATCAAACTCCCATCTTGTGGAAGGAGAAAACAAACATAATGAAATGTGGTCACTCATGTCCACAGTGTAAAACAATTATGGAAATGACCAAAAATGCAAGTGGAAAAAATTATCACTTAGTAAATTTTCAAGTAAGACACCACTTTATTTTTAGTTTTTGTTTTCTTCTTTTCCTTATCCAACTGCTTTACTTTTATCCTCTTATCTCACAGCTGTTTTAATTTCCCATCTGTCCATACACATTGTGTGTCCCTGAATATTTGTGTGTTTAGCTCATCTTTTTTTTTTTTAAGACAGTCAATATATTTTAATGACAGTACATTTTTGCTTTCAAAGCTACATACAAAATTTGTTTTGCATGGCTGGATATAAGCTGAATGAATATGAATTTTGAAATTAACATATCAATCATCAGAACAGATCTCCTTTTAAAACGGCATGACTATGATTTCTGCGAAAGCTCATTTATGTTCTCTTCAACTGGGAAAGTGGACATTTTCAAAGGGTTAACATAATAACAAAGTTAAGGCAGACAAAATTCTCTGCAATATTAAACATTTTGAAATAAAAGCATAGTACTTTTAAAACAGCTTTATTGAGATATAATGTACATACTGTTATAGCACTTTTAAAATCTTTGTCTTTGTTTTGAGATAAAATTGATAAATTGCTTACCATCATAATCATTGTTTTAATTAAAAAACATTACTCATGAAAATTCAAAAAGTGTCATCGAATCTACACCTACCAGTAAATCTACTAATCTTTAAAACATGCTGGCCGAAGAATGCTCTCTCAGCACCACGGAAGGAAAACGCTCTTCTTCTAAGTTCACACTGCAGATTCCAGCGGAGGACTACGCCAGCCCCTGGGAAGCAACGCGTGCTTTTCTTCCTTGGGCTTAATTTACGTGCTTGCTTCTTATTTTGTGTAGGTTTGATGATTTTGCTGAACTGCAGTTGCTGAACTGGCCTGTTGTGGTCAAACACCAGGGAAGGAACAAGGGCTTGGAATCCAAATCAGATTTTGATTGCCAGGTGCTGGGGTATGACCAAAGACCACGTCTGAGGTTCTTCATTTTCCACCTGTTACTCATGCTCTTCATTATCTCCATCCTCTATGATGAAAGCAAGGCAGTCCTTGGCCAAGGACTAGGTGCTGTGCCTCCGCACGCCTGGCCTGGGTGCTGACCTGTTCTGACTCATGCCCCCGGTGACCCTCAATAGCACGGGGAGAAAGGAGCGTCAGCAGCAGCCACAGTTGTGGCAGCTGGTGTTCAAAAACCTCAACAGCATCATCTAGAACTTAAGCTGTGACTATATAATATTATTTTTATTTCTTTTATAGTAATGTTCATTTTTTAATGTGGTGGTTTAGGTGATAATCTAGTGTGCCCTGGAGTTTGAAAATGCATCTACCAGATGACTCACTGTGGTTCTTCAAAATCTGTATTAGTGGTGTGTACCCAAGATTCCCGAATGGCAAATTATGGAGGGGAATTCAGAACACTGCTATTGTCTCTCAGTCGTGTGGCACCAGTGACCCTCCAGTCCAGGTTCAAACAGGATGTCCAACACCTGCCTTGAAGCCAATGTATGCAGGGCTGAACTCTACTGGAGGAGTCCACAGCGAATGTCTTAGGGGGACACAATGACAGAAAACAATCAAGACAACTAAGAGGAGGTTCCCCAATAGCTGACATTCTTCTGAAAAATTTCTGAGTGCAGGAGGTGGGGAGTGGTTTGCCAAGTCGTCGATGCATTCGCTTGGTCATCCACTCTTGGTTACTCACGGAATATCTACTAAGGGCCAGGCATTGACTAAGCCAGCTGCTGTGGCTCAGAGATGATTGTGCCGGGCTCCTACAGGAGCCAATGGTGCCACCTGGCACACTTCACCACCCACTGGACCTCAGGATCTACTGAGCACAGACCCAGTTGTTTTGCTGAGGCCCTCCAGGTCCCCAGCCCCTGATGTTCCTGCTGGTGGTGGCAGGTCTGGGGCAGTCATGAGGATGCAAGAGCACATCCCAGACTTCTAAGAGGCAAGTCCCCTCTATTCTTCACATAACTTCCTGGATGTATTTTGCAGGAAATCTTCTAGGCCTCTTCCAATGGCCTAGAATATGGTTTAAAGAATTATGTCACCATTCCACTTCTAACCTCCATGATGAAATTCCAGAACTGCCCTTTGCCCACTAGATGAAGGCAGAACCACACTTACAAGGAAAAGGAAGAACCATAAGCCAAGTCTGAGAAACAGTTTTGCAATTTCAAGGTGGTCTCTATGAACCCTGTTTTGGACTGAATGGTATCACTTCCAAAATGTCTATGTTGAAGTTCTAAACCCAGTACCTCAGAAAGTGATGGAGTCTTCACCTTTAAAAGGTGATGAAATAAGGCCATTGTGGTGAACCCTAATCAATCTGCCTGGTAGCATTACAAGAAGAGAAGATTTGGACATACAAAATGACATCAGAGGAGAGACCATGTGAAGACACAATACGGTGTCATCTACAAGAAAGAAGGCTCAGAAGAAACCAACCTGCCTGGACCCTGATCCTGAACTTCCAGGCACCAGGCATAGAAGGAAATAAGTTTTTGTTGGTTAACACAAAGTCTGCGGTGTGTGTCGCCGCACCCCAATAAACTAAAACACTCTCCAGCTGAAGAGGTCACAGTATAAAAGGTGTCCATCTTGAACCACACGTCTTCTTAGGCCAGGGCTCACAGAAACACTGCTTCCTATCTGTAGTTTAAGGTTTTCAAGGAAAAATCTCTGGAAGAAAACAACCAGACAGAAATGCAGTGGAGGCTCCAGTCCTCCCACTTAGGCCCAGCGCCAGCTTCAGAGGGTTGTGGGGTGCACCAGGCCTCATCACCCATCTGACGAAATTCACATCCTGCCATCATCCCAAACCAAGCGACAACAGCTCATTCACATACCCAAAGCCACAAACCAGCACTGATGTTGATAAAGTAAGGCAAGCAACTCTAGGACAACGATTAAACTCCCCTTTCCAAAGGCCACATCTTTGGCAACCATCAGGAATGAGGCTTTTTTTTTTTTTTTAACTACACCAAGAGAAAACATCATGAACAGAAAGTATGCCAGAAGTAACTATGTTTACTCTTACGGCAGAACCCAGTTTCCTCTTAGATGGTCGCATGCAGGTCTGCTGGCTGGCTTCCGACTGGGAAAGTCACCAGGTATCCTTGCAGAAAATATCCACAGTAGTTTCTTCCTTGGAAAAAATAATGACAAACCCTGAATCATGTTTCCTAAGATTTTCAAATAATGATGCTGATTTGCTAATTTATGTGAAAATTCCATGGAAATACAATAAGCAACTGAAGATTTAATCTATTTCCGCTGGAGCAACCGAGGGGAGAAAGAGGAGGCGGGAGCAGCTCTGTCACTCTGCCTTAATTTCTTCAGCTAGTCGGAAACCCATGTCTGCAACTGGTGATTCTGAACCAGCAGCAGGGAGATGCCATGCTGGGCCCTCCCCGGGGAACATCCTTTCTCAATTCTTCCTTCAAGTCAGTGTTGAAGAACTCTTAAACCTTGAAACCTTTGCTCACAAAGCTTCTAGCATCTTCCCTCTCGCCACCACTGCTGAAATCCTTCTTGTGCCTCTGAACTTGCTGAACCCTTGCTCTTGCTCTTGCTCTGCACATTGGAGAATGAAGACAAGAGGGCTTCATAAAACACTGTGGAATGAAGACTTAGGAAGAGGGCTCATGGGTCCCATGAAAAGACTCCGGTGACAGACAGCTCGGGACTCCTTCCTCACTTCGAGAAAGAGTACAGTTCACAGGAAGAGGAAGGGGTGAGTGCATCCTCACTAGCCTGTAGAGAGTTGGGGACACACAGCCCATGCCCGGAAGACGAAGAGAGGTTCAGGATAAAAAAGGCAGGCTGCAGTGGCCTTCTCATGGTGAGGACTCACGGGATGTCCCTATCCAGTGCCTTTCCATCTTGGAGTGGGGGGTGGGGAATCCTGCTGGGGAGAATGGCAATAATGTCACCTAAAGATGTTCAACGTCTTGGGAACAGAAGGCTCTGTTAGCATTAGACCATGATACCCTTTAGGGTTTGGACATGGTCAAGGATCCGGGCTGTTCCCCGAGCCAGCAGCACAGGCAGAATCTTGGCCCTACCTGGGATCTACTGAAGTAGATCTGCATTTTACAGGATCCCCAGGTGACTGGCTCTCTTGCACAGTGAGGTCTGAGAAGCACTGTTGGCAGGTAGAAGGGCAGGAAGAACATGCCGATTGTTACCATCTGATTGTGAAGTGACACCATGTGATAAGAACACAGAAACGCCTTGGATTAACTTCTGGACCAACGATTCTCCTTAGGAAGCTTGCCAGATGCCACAAACAGCTCCCTGGTTTACAGGATTTCTTCCAATGTTTACCGGGTTGCCAAGGGCATCAGAATCAACTGGAATTTCATCAATGTTTAATGTGAGTGCAACCACTCCTATACAGACTCCATTCTTGATTGAATTATTCCATTAGATGTGCTGGCCGGCGCAGGCCGTCCACGAACACGCGCGGGTCCAGGTGGAAGGCGATAGTGGCGCTGGGCAGGTCCTGCAGGTCCACCTCCTCCATCTCGCAGTCGAGGAAGCTCCAGTCGCCGCCGCCCTCGTCGGCCTCGGCCGCCCCGGAGAAGGGCGCGAAGGGCCGCAGCGTCACCCCGGGCCGCGCCCGCGCCTCGGCCGCCTCCGCTGCCGCCGCGAGCCGGGGCCGGCCACGCCGTCCTCCATCCCCGCGCTCGCGCCCGCGCGCCCCTGTGCGCCCCCGCCGGCTGCGCCGGGCTCGCGCGCCGGAGCCTAGCGCTCTCTCTTCCGCGCCGCGGCCGCTGGCTCCCGGTTAACCCCCTCGGGAATCGCCGGGCTGCTGGCCGCCGGCTGTCACCACGGTTCCCGGAGACGCGGCCTCCAAGCGCCCGCCTGTTTAACTCATCTTCAGGGATATTTTATAAGAAGTTGGGGAGCGTGCGACTGGTCAGGAGTCAATTGCATTCAGCGTATGAAGAAGGCAAGGAGAGGAAATGCAAGGGGCCCTAAGTTTGTTCCTTAGCAAGGATTCACAAGGTCTCACTCTTGAGCCCCCCAGAGAGTTGCCAGGACTCACATTTCAACCACTCTACCTCTCCTCTGTCAGCACTGTCATCCTCACAGATACAAGAGTGTTGTCTGGTGTTTCAGTCTTCTATTAGGAACCCTATTATGACGTATTACGATATTTGTTCTTACCTTTTCTTAACTTTTCCAAGTCTTCTCGAGTTTTCATGAATTTCTCTTCAAACTGGAGAACAGAAACAGTAAATGAGTCCTGATTAGTTCACTCAATCGCCTTGCATGCTTGTCAGCTTGAATTATTCCTGTCTACGTATGATATGAAGGGGGTAAGATTTTTGAGATTGGACATATTTATCGAAGAGTCTGGTCAAGGCTATCTGGAAATTTATAGTACATGTATCAGGAAAAATGCATGGGTCACAACCCTGAAAAATGCTTGATCCCACCATCACAGATGTGTGGGCTGCTCGAGGGCAGGGACCTCATCTGTCTAGTTCACTGTGTATCCCCAGGACCTACTATAAAACCTGGTTCTTTACAGGTGCCCACACAATTATGCTGAATGAATAGGTTCCAATGGTTAATAGGAAGTTTGTTATTGTCTCCTCCCTCCTGCCCACCTCACAATTGTGATGTGTATTTTCAGTATAATTGCATTCATTTTCTTATATGGTAGAATTTAGATCTTTTTTAATGGGAATTTCTAACATTCATAAAAATAAACAACTGAGTATATTGTTGCTCCTTTTTCCCTCACCAATTTCAACAATTATCAACTAGTGTCAATAGGCTCTCATCTAGGTGCCCACCCATTCTTCTTTGGTAATAGTTTAAAGGAAGTCCCATCCTGGATTTCATGCACAGTCATGTGCCCCATAACAATGTTTCAGTCAATCACTATACACAAAGATGGTGCCATAAGACTATAAAAGAACTGAAAATTTCCCATTGACTAGTGAATACATCGGTGAACAAAATTCAATGAAGCATTTAGTAGAAGCCTTTGAAGACCTCCATAAGATCCTTCAAAATGTTGAAAACACAAGGGCTGCAAGTGTAGCTCAGTGGTAGAGCACTTGCCTATCATAAACACTGCCCTGGGATCAATCCCCAACACTGTAAAAAAAATTAAAAATTGTGGGGATGGGGTTGTGGTTTAGTGGTAGAGCACTTGCCTAGCATGCATGAGACATTGGGTTCCATCCTCAGCACCACATAAAAATAAAGATATTGTGTCACCTAAAAACTAAAAAATAAATATTAAAAAAATTGTGTGCATTTTAGCTAACGTGGTTAAAAAATATGGAATTATGATCACTGAGAATTGCCTGTATTAAAAATAAATTTTTTAAAAGTTGAAAACATAAATTTCAAATGACAAATTTCTCATTAATAGTGAGAATTTTTCATGGTACATTATTTGCTTCCAAGTAAATTATATATTTATATATTTATAAATAAGAAAAGTTATGTATTTATTAATGAACAAAAAGAAAAACAAGCAATCCACCATGCACATATTTCTGAACAGTGATGCCTCCTCATTACAAGCATCAGAATGATCCTTAGTAGCTAGATCAGAAGAAGGCACTGTGATCATAGCAGGTGACAGATCCATGCATTTTCTGCCCCCAAAATCTTCCAGTGGGACATGATGGGGAGGAAGAAGACAGTGATATTGTTGATTCTGAACTTGTGTTTGCTTCTTAACTTTTAATGGAAGAGTTTTAAAAAAATAAAATTAAATAAAAATAAAAATGGAAAAAGCTTAGAGAACAAGGAATAAAAATATTTTACACATCTATACAATATGTTTTCATTTTATATATTATTACACAAGAGTTAAAAAGGTTAAAAAATTAAAAGGTTGTAAAGTTACAGTAAACGGAGGTTAATTTATTATTGAGAAAAGAAAACATTTTAATAAATTGAGTGCAGCCTGTGTGTACAGATTTATACAGTGTGCATTGTGCTAAATCAGCTTTTCATTATCTTAAGAAACACCTAACATAATCAACTTTAAAGAGGAACAGGTTAATTTTGGTTATCACTGTTTCAGAGGTTTTGGTCCCTGGTCGTTTGGCCATGTTGCTTGGTGGCAAGGCAAACATCATGGCAGGCAGCATGTGGGGGAGCAAACCACTCACCTCTTGGATGTCAGGAAACCAAGAGAGACACAGGGGCTGCATTCCCACAACCCCCTCAAAAGCAAGCCCTCAGGACATAACTCCTCCCACTAGGCCCCACCTCAAAACAGTTCCACTACACCCAATGGTGCCTCAGGCTAGGGACACTCCTTTAAAACATGGGCCTTTTGGAATTTTTCACATCCAAATTATAGCATTGGTAGTGACCTGGGCCTTCACTTTCACTCACCACTCACTCACTGACTCACTTGGAGCAATTGCCAGACCTGAAAAAACTCTAGGACTGATAGAGTGCTGCATATAGGTGTTTCATATTTCTTCTTTTGTACCATGTTTTTTCTGTGCCTGTTTGATGTTTAGATACCAAATGCTTATCATTGTGTTACAGTCACCTACAATATTCAGTACAGTATCGTGCCACACAGGTTTGTGACACATGACTGTGTTTCATTCTTAAATAGCTCAATTAGTTTCTCTAAAATACAGGAACTATGTTTAAAAATAACTATATTATCCCACCAAAAACATTAATAAAAATTTATTATCACCAATATTCAATCAATAATCATGTTTCTAATTTTTATACATTTTATGAATTATTTTCTATAGTGTTTAAACTCAAAACCAAATAAGGTCCACAAATCATGGTACATTTTTTTACATTAATGTTTACCTTCTTTGATGAGAATACTGACAATTTATTTAGTAAAGTCTGTGAATCTCTTAATAATTGGCAGTGTTGTTTAGAGTACAATTCCTGACATTGTATCCAGTAAGAAATATCACCTAGCTTATGTAAGAAAAGTATCTAATAACAGTGAATATTAGATCCAATTTCAAATGATCTAACTCAGAACTTACCTCTACGCCAGCTGCGGCCAAGAGCCACCGGATGGACTCCATTCTGGCCCGTCCATCAAAGTAGTGAAGAATGGGTTTCCCTGCCATGATGGCAGTGTCGGGCTTTTCCTAAATGTGTGTGAGCAAATGAAGCTGTCACTATGGCAAAATCTAAACAAACCCTCTAGCTTCACTTGCTCTTAGTTGACTTTAAAAAAATCACTAATTTTTGATTCACAAAGTTGGACAATACATTATTAGTCTCATGTTAGCTTTCCTAGTAGAAGATACCTCTAACTGAGGCCACCTAAAAGATTTAAAAACTATTCCCCAGAGAATGTTATCACCCCTATTCTCCAGGGGAAAGATGCTTTTCTCCATCTCCCTTGCTCTGGGGGGATAAGTAGCCTTGTGTATCCTAATAACTGAAGAATGAGCTATTCTTAAGAAAAGTAACTAAAAAGATAAGACTTTTTAATCAGCAAATTTTCTTTAGATTAACAGAAGCCTGACTATCCTGTGACCTATGCTAATAGCAACCTGTGCATGAGAGAAGCAGGTCACCCAAATTAGTAAGTACACTGGCACCTGCTTCTGTGATGTACTACCTACAACTCCCAGAACAAGTCCTGCACTTGGAACCCTATGCAACATAGTCTTTGTTGGAAGTAGCCTTTGATTTGCTACATTTTCAATAATTCTTTTTTCTTTTCCTCAGCAATTTTCCTTGAGCCACTGAACTTTTCCAGAAGAAGCAGTGAACAGGGATTGAAGGTTTCCAGACCATCATATCAAAAAACATACTTTCAGATGTATAGTAGAACACTACCAGCTATACAAAAGAAAGACCTGTCTTCTTTGTTACAGGATGAGAGAAGTTCTTGAAATATACTCCTAGGTCCAATGGGTTACCCATCAGTAGCCACCCTCAGATTGCACCAAACCAGTCTCATGTCCCCATCGGTTAAATGTGACTGTTCATGGCAGGCTCATTGGTCACCATGGATGGTAGAGGATGTTAGTGGGAAGAGAAAGAACAGAAGAACCAGAATTTATTGAAAACTGCCAGAGCCCACCCCAATACAAACCTCATTTGACACATCATGTTTTTAATATTCACACAGCTTTGGGCACCAGTTGTATTTAGTCTGCACTCTTCAGTTAATGAAACTGAGCCTTATGGAAGTGAAATGTAATGTCCAGTCACACCAAAGTCACCAGGGGACATGAAAAATCACAACATGAAACAAGAACAAGGAGGGTCTAGAAACACACAGGTGAAGGCCTTGAGAATTTGTGAAGGCTCTGAAATCAGGATGCCACCAACAGCAAGGAACAAGAGGAGCAAAGTCACTGTTCAGTCCTTTGGCAATTAGGCTGCATTGAATCAAAAGTAGAAATGAGGGCTCAGGATTTGTTCACTTGTAGCTCACAAGGTCCCAGTTCCTCCCAGAGGCAGAGGTTGCTGATTCCTTTCTTTTTTGGAATGCCACACTCTACAGCTTTTTGTGTGATCTAGCAAAGGGATGGTGCTACATTCACTTGACGGTAACCTTTGTTCAATGCCAGCCACACCCTCAGAATGCCACAAATTTATCACAAGTTTAACCTAAAAGAAACTAATCCTCAGGGGACTTCATAGAATGTGATCATTTTACAGTTGGGGGTGATGTGATTTCTAGAAGAACTTGCCCATATGAAGTGATGAACAAGAGTTCAAACTCACCTTTGTCTAGGCTTGAATATCTGTTATTGATTTTCAGAATATGCAAAGCAATCCTTCTGTGGATTGTGAGATCCATTAATTTTGTAAATGAAGTAGAAAGGAACAGCAAATATCAGGGTGCAGAAAGGGTAAATAATGTTTGGAGAAGGTTTCACTTCAGTTATGTGTATGGAGTGTGCATAGGAGTGTGTGCATGTGTGTGCTCAGATGGCCATTGTAAGTGGTACTAGTCACACTGATGGCTTCCAGTGAAGGAGCTTCAATGGCCCTGGCTGTGTCTCAGGCTGCTCAGGGGGTGGAGCACAGCGAAGAATCAGAGAATGAAAATAAGTGGCTCCTGGAACTGAGGTGACTTTACTATCATGAGTGTGAATACAATCACAGTAGACTCACTGAAAGCAGGAGTCCTAATGAGAGGAGTTCAAGGGAAAATGGTTACATTTCATCTGAAGTTCTATTTTAAAACATTCTGTCTTCTTGCAAAGTTTTGTCATTGAGTTTAACACAAAAATATACTTGTCTTTACCATTAGAAGTACTTCTGAAAAATTGTGTGTGATTGAATTTTAGGTATCACATTTTAAAATATCACATTATAAAATAAAATATTCACATTTTAAATTATGGCACACAAAAATCTAAACTTTATGAAGTATAAAATCCTTTAGAAACACTGAATTAACTCTCAGTCTGTTAGGAAGTCCATTGTGTGTATGAGGGAAGTGGAGGAGGCGTGTTCAGCACAAGGAAAGGGAGAGTGAGGCTCACACTTGTGTCAGGCATGTTGAGCTGCTCAGGAGCTGAGTTCACAGGACCACATCATCCTCATCCTCACACTGTGCTCCCTCAGCTGTTGACTGAATCCTGTTACACAGGGTGATGAGTTTTACCTTACAGAAGGCTCTATCATGATGCTCTTTCTTCTAAGTGACTTTCTCCAACTTCTGAATGTGAGGCATTCAAAGGCCAGGCTGGGACAGAAGTCCCCATGAAGTTTTGCTAGGTGGACAAAGTGGGACCAAGAGAGACTGGATGCTTTGCTGGGGTCTCGTACAAGTTCCTCTCTCATAGTCAATATCTAGTTGTGAGTGTCCCCTCCATGACTGTTAGGCAAGAGATAGATATGAGCAGTGGGTCAGGAGTTTAGGAAACACTCAATACAGTATGAAATGGTTCATCACAGTTCTGCCTCATTGGAGCGGCAATGTCTGACAGGATGGCTCTTTCAGGACCCTTGCCTGGTCTCAGCTCTATAAACTATTCCTCCTACAAATGGAGAAAGATAGATGAGTTCAAGGGCCAAAAAATACAAAAAGCAAGCATATGTTTGCTCAGAGGGCTCAACTGCTAAGACGTCTTCAATAAGACCCTACACAAACAACACACACCAGAGATTTCCAGGCTTAGGAAAGCAGGATGATTAAGACTGGAGCCCCCTGACCTTAAATCTTGTAAAGCTAGACCTAATTAAGACCTGTCAGTCAGGCCAGGATAACCAAGAGTTGCTCTTAGGTTGTTAGCTAATGTAGTATGTCAATCCAGAGGCCAGAGGCAATACCTCGGTGGTATCTTCTAAAACCTCTCTCCCACTCCAATAGAAGCTGGGACACAAACAGCTGTTGCTTTCCCCTCTCTCTCCTTTGAGGGTGCTTCTTTCCCCTTGTTTCTCTTCTAATAAACTTAGCTATACTTTCACTAAGTCTTAGGTCTTGCTTGAAACCCTTTGATGTGAAAAACACAAGAACTGAGAACACAGTGCATTCTCTCTGGTAGGATCTGGGCATCTTCTGTCCCCTATTACCACAACCACCTGGGGACAGCTCCTGGTGTCCTACTGCAGAGGACACACTAAAGGTGAGGAGGAATGGCCACCTCCTGCTCACACACTTCAGTGTGGGTTATTTGAACTCCTCTGGTTATTTGAAAGGATAAAAAAACCTGACATCAGGACTTCTCCACTCCAACTTGGAACCCTCCCCTCCTTCTATGCTTCTCTTTGAGGAAATTTCCATATTTTCCCAACCAGAGTCCTGTAGCCACCTGAAGATGGGAAGCAGAGGGACCTAGGGGACATAGAATTCATGAGCAGCTCTGCGGGGGCTTCATGAGAAACAAAAACAACAACAACAAAATGACAAAATTGTCTTTTGCTTTCCCTTGGCAACCCCCAAAATGAGTGAATTGAAAACTAGAATAAGGATATTTGCTTCATTAAGAATATGGGCTTGGGGTCTGGGGTTGTGGCTCAGCGGTAGAGCACTCGCCTCCCACATGTGAGACCCTGGGTTCGATCCTCAGCACCACATGAAAGTAAACAAATAAAATAAAGATATCATGCCCATGTATAACTAAAAAAATATTTTTAAAAATATGGGCTTGTTTTGAAAGGACTATAATCTACAACAATTCCAGTAGTAGGTTAAAAGAGGTATGTCTCTGAGCTGGTTTCCACCCCCTACCATATAGAAGGTCGACTTACAGAGAAATCACTACTTTCCTCTTGGGGTAGGTGAACTCAGTTGTTTAATTTCTGACTCTCAATTTTCTTTTCTGAAAATACATAGAGTTCCAGCTAAGTTTGAGAACTTTTCAAAAATTTCATTGAAATAATGTGCATACACTCATAATAGGCACTCAGTACATGGATTCTCACTGTTTCTCCAGTTCCTAGGAGATGAGTGTGCACCTGAACACATTGGGTAGCCCATGAATCCTTTCTCTTTCCATCCCTCCACTAACTGACCATCCACTCATCATGTACTATTGTCCACCTATCTATATCTCTGTATCTGTTTTGTCCGTAGAACTCTGGAGCAGTTTCCATGTACCAAGCAAGAATGATGGCTACAGGGAGCAAGGTACCAGTCTGACTTGGCCTCTTTCCTGAAGGGGTTTAAATCTAGTCAGGGACACAGCATTATAGACATCTGGAAGATCAGAAAGACTCTGGAAGTGACTTCACTTTATGGGTCTCTGGGAATTCCAACCCAGGATCTGAGACCAGGGCAAAGGACAGGTAGCCAGATTATCAAATAAAAGGAAATGGGTAGAGAGCACTTCCCCGTCAAGCAGTTGCTAACATCTCCAGGGGAGGGAAGAATCACACTCTCCAACACAAGGAATTGCCCCCCTGGGAAGCTTTGTTCCTGCCTTTTGGTGACATGAGCATGATAGGAAGAGGAGAATAAAGAAAGGGTTAAAAACCTGACATCTATAAAAATGCAAGACACCCCACTCCCAGGGGCACCATCTCTGGGTCCCCAGCTCCTCTCCAGAGGAATGTCTCTCTCTCTCTCTCTCTCTCTCTCTCTCTCTCTCTCTCTCTCTCTCTCTCTGTGTGTGTGTGTGTGTGTGTATATATATATATATATATATATAGTCTCAATAAAATTTGCTGGGTATTTTGTCTCCGTGTTACGCAGATGTTTAATCTTCAACCCCAGAGGAACGAGGACCTGTTCCTGATTTCCAATTCCAGTATCAGAACCATGATTCTGCTCACCAGGTAGTCAGCACAAGGGGAGAATCCTGCCAGCCTCAGAGAACTGAGGACCCTGCCCTTTTACCAAAATGAGCTGTTGGTAGCCTCTCTATCTCCAGACTGAATTGATTTTGCCCCCCAGGCATCTGCTTCCTACTCTGTAAACTAGGATCACAGCTCATCCTTCTCCAAACCCTCTCTGCAGCCTCTTGCAACATGCTTTTCTTCATTGTCATTTCAGTATCTTCTCCCAGGGGTGCTGCACTAGGTTCTGTGATTCTGGTAGACCCTGGTTTCTCTGACACCTGGATTTTCAGACACTCTCCCTGAAACTCACTCTCTCCTTTATAGAAACGTTCCTTCTTCCCAATATTAACATTCATGCAGATCATTGCTGGCTTTTAAATTCCAATTCTAAAGACTCATGGCATTTCAGTTAAGTGTTCCTGTGCTTTTAAGAACTAGTTACACGCTCCAGTGATTGGCGAGTCTTTGCACATAGACTTCTGAGTGTTATTGCCTGGCAAATCATGTCTCTCAGTGATCCTCAGCCAGAGTGGCACTGCTTCGCCAGCGCTGAGGCTGGTGGGCAATGTCTGGAGAGGTTTCTTTACATCAAAGCCTACCGACTGGAAACATTGGAAATGCTACAGCATCAGGTGGGGCAAGGCCAGGATGCCTCTGAATATCCTACAATGAGCTGGACAGCCCCCCACACAAAGAATTACTCAAGTCAAATGAGTAGTCTTGCTAAGGTTGAGAAAACTTACCTTAGTCATTCTCCTGTTTTGCCATGAGATGGTGAACCCCAGAGAGCTAAGACTTGCCATCTGGTTAATTAGTAGCAAAGACTGAAATAGAGTCTAGTTCCTCTGTTATTCAGATTACTTTTCTGTATCATAATAAATCTTAATTTTGATCTTCAAAGGCTAAGTTGCATTACACAATTCACAATGTGTGTTGATGACCTTTTTAGAAAAAAACAACTCTAGCATAAGCTCCTACATCCCTCTTCACTGGTCACAATCTCAGTTGGATCTATACTGTAGTTGTCTCTCTTTTCTCCTGACATTTTTTTTCTCATACCATGAAACTCTCCTGCCCTAGTTTTCTAAATTCTTCTTGTCAACATTTCTATAAAGTTGTATCCAACAGAAACTGAATCAATAATTCTTGAACTGTCATCTAAGCACAAGAAGAAGACTTAATGTGAATACAAGACAGACTTCTGCTTGTAGCTACAGATATTTTAATGTATTTTTCTTGGTATCTAAAAATAAGCATGTGAAGACATGTAGGACAATTGATTAGATCAGTACTTACCTATTAAGGGCGGCTCCCTCTTAGCTCCACAACACCACAACAGGAAAGAGTCCCCAGTGTGTTTAGGAGCTACTTATTCATTGGAATAACTCCTTCCCAGTAAAGAGTGAAGTCTATAATTAAGGAAAAGTCACCTGCATAGTGTTTAGGGGCCACAAGTTTCTCTATTGGACTAGAAGGAAAATGCCAAGTCATCTTCTTATCAGAAAATTGTTGGTTAATATGTTGCTTTTCAGGGTTGGCAAAGAAAGTTTAACCAAAACACTTCGGACAAATTTTACTCTCTCTGCCTGTCACTAAGGATTTTTTTTTAAATTTTTTTTTTAGATGGACACAATATCTTCATTTATTTATTCGTTCCTCATGCTGAGGAACCAACCTAGTGCCTCACATGTGCAAAGCAAGCCCTCTACTGCTGAGCCACAACCCCAGCCAGAGGATTGGGTTTTTGAGGAATCTGACTGCACAGTTTTCATGAACAAAATGCAAGGATTTAGACAGATTTGAAACCTCCACTGTGAACTGCAAACACCATTTTTTTTTTCTGGTGCAGAATAGATTTGCACAAGGGAACATAGTAGCAGTTTAGATACCAATTAAATATTCCACTAAGGTTAAGCAGGACTGAGATTGTTATAATAAAAAGGATGTCAGTGCCCCTGCTTTGCATCATCCAGGGAAGATTGGTGAGATTGGCACAAATTCTGTGCTCATGTATTTTGTAAATCCACTGGGGTATCCATGTCAAGAGCAAAATTGTTGTAGAAATGACAAGGCTAGACACGGAGGAATTAGCAGGAAGCAGGTTTATGGGCTGCACCCAGGCCCAGAAGGGAAAAACATTTTCACCATGAGCCATGAATCCCCCTAAACTCGGAGTTCAGAGTTTTAGAACTCTATATCCAGTGTGTAGATGGAGGGGCTCAGAGGCTCACAATCTGCAGAGGTCCACATAACAGTAGGGTTTTTTTGTTTTGTTTTTTTCCTCCTATACTTCTGGGCTCCCAACTCAGGCCAAATTACCAAATAATACCAAGGACACTCTCTGGGAAAATCAGTACCTGCCTTTATTTACCAAAGATTTATTAACTCATATGAACAAAAGTGATCTGGATTAATTACTCTATATGAATTTTAAGAGGATAATTTTTGTTTATTATAAGTGCTGAGTTAATTTGCTTAAATTAATTAAAATACAGCATTTATAAATCAGTAGTAGAAAAAAGTCACACATTTATAAAATACACATATATAGACACATATATAGACACAAATGCATGAACAGAAATAAATTTTATAGTTTTTGTCTGTGAAGCTCATAGTCATATCTAGGTCCTATAATTTAAAATATATAAGTTGGGGTTGAAAAAATGAAATAAATTAAGGTTAAAAAAGGTCTTTTAAGAATTAATTTGCTCAAATTTTAAATAGTGAAAGGAGTGTCAAGAGAACTTTTAGAAGCATATTTTAGTTTCCTCCTCGTTTTGTTTTTGAGCATGTAGTATTAGCTTAGTTGAAAAAGCCAGAAACAAGATTCTTACCTTTCTTTCTTGAGTCAAAGGAACCTTCTGAGAAAAGGGATTTAGAGAATACCTAGCAACTTTTCTGGTGTTTCCTCTTTAAAGGACAAGAAAGGCAGCAGGCTGCCAGAAATAGAGAGACAGACAGACAGACAGAATGTGCCCCAGTGTGGCAAGATAGGATTTTTTTTTTTAATTGAAATGTTTTCTAAGCAACCTGATAATTACTTTCCCTGGGAGAATCTATACTTGATTTGCTATTTCATTTTATTTTCTTTTTAAAAAAAATTCCAGTTAATTTTATTTGGCTTTATTTTGCTTTTTCAATTGAAAGCACATGTAGGTTAATTTGGGGGTGTCAAAAGATCCCCGATTTTGTATCAAATAATGCAGTTTGTAGTAATCTGTGATAGGAGCCACAAGAAACTGGTGCATTCTTTCCCACCCCCCACTAGCATGGGATTATTTTGAAACCAATGACAGGCACCATATCACTTTGCATATGCTGACATTTATGTCTAACAGGTCAGGAGTCTTTACTAAACATAATCACACTATTCTCTTACCATGCCAACATTTGAATTCCTTAAATTCAGCAACTATTTAGCATTTAGATTTCTCCAGTTGTTCCTTAAGGATTTCTTTAAAGTTGGGTTATTTACATTAAAATCCAAGCAAGGTCCACACAAGGCATTTGAGTAACAAGAATAACTATATTTTGTAGATGTGACTAAATGAACACAGAGAGTCAGGCAGAAGGTGTAGAGATGTGTGAAGAGTTCTCAAAGCCCACAGTGAGGAGGTGCCAGGTAGTATTAGCTTAGTTGTGACAAAATGTCACCTGGAACAGAGGATGGCTCTCTTCTGTTCTTCGTTATTTCCCTATCTCTTAAAAACAAACAAACAAACGAAAAACAACAACAACAACAAAAAACACTAGAACTCTTCAGATGCATGTAAGAAAAAAAACCTAATTTGTATTATCTTGAATAAAATGTTTTTAAATAAAAATTTCATCATCCCATTACTTAGAAATATCAAAAATAACCATGAAGAACCATTTTTCCTGTTTATACCTGAGATTGTCATACTGGACTCTGACAGACTGTATCACAGATAATACAGGATAACTCCTAGACAAGATCAAAAAGGCCACATAATTTACCCTGGTGGCTTATTTCTTAACAAATACTCAGAGAAGTCTAGCCCTTTTATTATTGAAAGAGTTGCCTGAAGGACTACTAGCCTTTACATGGTATCACATTCTGTCTCCTCACAGTTCCCGCCTACCACCCTATCAACACGTTGGCATGACCTGGTGTTCAAATATTCACTTATGCCTTCTAGAAGATACTCTCATCAGAGACATTTAGCTACTTAGTCCTCCTGTTTCTTTGTTTCTTTTTTTTAAAATTTTTTATTGTTGGTTGTTCAAAACATTACATAGTTCTTGATATATCATATTTCACACTTTGATTCAAGTGGGTTATGAACTCCCATTTTGACCCCATATACAGATTGCAGAATCACATCAGTTACACATCCATTGATTTACATATTGCCATACTAGTGTCTGTTGTATTCTTCTGCCTTTCCTATCCTCTACTATCCCCCCTCCCCTCCCCTCCCCTCCCCTCTTCTCTCTCTGCTCCCTCTACTGTCATTCATTTCTCCCCCTTGTATTATTTTCCCCTTTCCCCTCACTTCCTCTTGTATGTAATTTTGTATAACCCTGAGGGTCTCCTTCCATTTCCATGCAATTTCCCTTCTCTCTCCCTTTCCCTCCCACCTCTCATCCCAGTTTAATGTTAATCTTCTTCTGCTCTTCGTCCCTACTCTGTTCTTAGTTACTCTCCTTATATCAAAGAAGACATTTGGCATTTGTTTTTTAGGGATTGGCTAGCTTCACTTAGCATAATCTGCTCTAATGCCATCCATTTCCCGGCAAATTCTATGATTTTGTCATTTTTTAATGCAGAGTAATATACTCCATTGTGTATAAATGCCACATTTTTTTTTATCCATTCGAATATTGAAGGGCATCTAGGTTGGTTCCACAGTCTTGCTATTGTGAATTGTGCTGCTATGAACATCGATGTAGCAGTGTCCCTGTAGCATGCTCTTTTTAGGTCTTTAGGGAATAGACCGAGAAGGGGAATAGCTGGGTCAAATGGTGGCTCCATTCCCAGCTTTCCAAGAAATCTCCATACTGCTTTCCAAATTGGCTGCACCAATCTGCAGTCCCACCAGCAATGTACAAGTGTACCCTTTTCCCCACATCCTCGCCAGCACTTGTTGTTTGACTTCATAATGGCTGCCAATCTAACTGGAGTGAGATGGTATCTTAGGGTGGTTTTGATTTGCATTTCTCTGACTGCTAGAGATGGTAAGCATTTTTTCATGTACTCGTTGATTGATTGTATGTCTTCCTCTGAGAAGTGTCTGTTCAGGTCCTTGGCCCATTTGTTGATTGGGTTATTTGTTATCTTATTGTCTAATTTTTTGAGTTCTTTGTATACTCTGGATATTAGGGCTCTATCTGAAGTGTGAGGAGTAAAGATTTGTTCCCAGGATGTAGGCTCCCTATTTACCTCTCTTATTGTTTCTTTTGCTGAGAAAAAACTTTTTAGTTTAAGTAAGTCCCATTTGTTGATTCTAGTTATTAACTTTTGTGCTATGGGTGTCCTATTGAGGAATTTGGAGCCCGACCCCACCGACTGTAGATCGTAGCCAACTTTTTCTTCTATCAGACGGCGTGTCTCTGATTTGATATCAAGCTCCTTGATCCATTTTGAATTCACTTTTGTGCATGGCGAGAGAAAGGGATTCCATTGCATGCTTTTAGCCCCTTTATCAAATATAAGATAGTTGTAGTTTTGTGGATTGGTTTCTGTGTCCTCTATTCTGTACCATTGGTCCACCCGCCTGTTTTGGTACCAGTACCATGCTGTTTTAGTTACTATTGCTCTGTATTATAGTCTGAAGTCTGGTATCGCTATACCACCTGATTCACACTTCCTGCTTAGCATTGTTTTTGCTATTCTGGGTCTTTTGTTTTTCCATATGAATTTCATGATTGCTTTCTCTATTTCTACAAGAAATGCCGTTGGGATTTTGATTGGCATTGCATTAAACCTATAGAGAACTTTTGGTAATATCGCCATTTTGCTGATGTTAGTTCTGCCTATCCATGAACAGGGTATATTTTTCCATCTTCTAAGATCTTCTTCTATTTCTCTCTTTAGGGTTCTGTAGTTTTCATTGTATAAGTCTTTCACCTCTTTTGTTAGGTTGATTCCCAAGTATTTTATTTTTTTTGAAGATATTGTGAATGGAGTGGTTGTCCTCATTTCCATTTCAGTGGATTTGTCGCTGATATACAAGAATGCCTTTGATTTATGCGTGTTGATTTTATATCCTGCCACTTTGCTGAATTCATTTATTAGCTCTAATAGTTTCTTTGTAGAGCCTTTTGGGTCTGCTAGGTATAGAATCATGTCATCTGCAAATAGTGATAATTTAAGTTCTTCTTTTCCTATTTTGATGCCTTTAATTTCTTTCGTCTGTTTAATTGCTCTGGCCAGTGTTTCGAGAACTATGTTGAACAGAAGTGGTGAGAGAGGGCATCCCTGTCTTGTTCCAGATTTTGGAGGGAATGCC